TCTCACTCCCCAACCGAGCACCTGACATGGGACTGACACTGAATTTCAAATCTGTGGATTCAGTTCAATCAAGTGGTTCAGTGTAAGCAGTTTCAGGTTTAAGACTCAGCTCCGTGACCATGGGAAAATCCTCATTTTATCCCTCATTTATATAATACGCAGGTGTCACACTAAGGTGCCTTTTAGTGGTAATAGTACATGATGCTGACTCAGTATGGGACTTGTCACATCTGCTCTTGTCCCTTCCAATACAGTCTACAAAGTAAACATAAGTGATAGCTCAAAAATCCCAAATCTGAGCATATTATTCTCCTACCTGAGATTCTTCATGTCTCTTCATGTGTCTTAGGCTGAAATCCAAAACCTTCACCATATTATTTGTTAGGGATCCTTTTTTTTTTTTTAAGGTTTATTTACTTATAAGAGAGAGATTGAGAGACAGACAGACAGAGAGAGAGAGAGATTGAGCACAAGCAGGAGGGGCAGAGGGAGAGGGAGAGAGAATTCCAAGCAGACTCTGTGCTGAGTGTGGAGCCCATAGGGCTCGATAACACAACCCCAAGATCATGACCTGAGTGGAAACCAAGAGTCAGGTACTCAAGTGACTGAGCCACCCAGGTGCTCCAGGGCTCAGTGTAATCTTGACCTTGACTGCCATTTTATCTTGTGCCACATTTCCCTTGGTCATCAGGCTCAGATACCTTGGACTCCCATCAGTTCCATAAATGTTCTCCACTCCTGCTCATGCATGTTCTTCACATATGCTAGAATGTCTCTGCCTAGAATGTCCCTTTCTTCCTCTTCACCTGGAGAACTACCTGCAGTCTTTAAGTGTCAGCTTCAACACTAGTTGGTCTTGAAGGACTTCCCTGATGCTTTTGTCATGAGGAAGTTTCCCTGACATCTGGTCTTCAGCACCCCCTAAACGTGCGCAGGCTATACACTTGCAATAGCTCACAGGATGTCTTCACGACAAAGACATGAAGGGGACTTACATCTTTATTATGGCAATTTGCCAATAGCATTTTGAAGAAGGGAAGCCTTTTATTTACTTTGCACAAACTTGCTGCATTGGTCGTTGACCACCTTGTTTATTATTAAACAGTTTTCCTATAAAACACCAGTTAACTCGTTATTAATTATTCATAAAATTTTTTAAAATTAAGTTCTGTCTCTCACACTAGATTGCATAACCTGTTTGGGAAAAAACTGCCTTTTTACTCCCTCGAGTCCTGCCTTCTCACCTGCCACTTGTGGACATTCAGCAATAACTGATCAGTGATGGACCTGGGGCCTGCTGCATTCTGGCTCCTTTTAGGCTGCACTGGCCACACCTGGCATCTTAAGCAGATTTAACTGCTGCCTTCAGCTTATACTTAGTGCAGGTTTATGTCTGTTTTTAGAGCCACAACAAAACCAGTTGATCACAGTTTACTGGCAGGGTCCATAGTCTATACAATAGAAATGCCAAAGCACCCACCACCCAAGACATTTTGTAGCATGAAGCAATAAGAATCATTGAAAACACATTTTTCAGCTTTAAAAGTACTTAGAGTTATAAGCATAGTTTTAGCACTGAGCAGAATGGCAGGTAGCGATAAAGTGTAAGTTTAATAACATGTGCTTTATATCAGTGCATAATAGTGTACAGCATTTTAGCAGTTTATTTTTCCTCTCTATTTTATAGCTTTTCTCCAATATTATGATAAAATCTCATACTCCTGACAACCTGACTCCACATAAGCGGACTTCCTCATTGTGTTCAGAGCACAAGCCAGGTTCCCCTGGCAACCGCAACTGCCTGAAGGTTTTTTAATGCTCTGCCCATTTTGGCTTCACTTTATTTTGGCCATTAGTTTGGTAAAAAAGAAAAAAAAATAGGAGAACTCAAATGAAACAAAACTGCCTTTATCATAATTAGTAATTTTTGCCTTCAAAAGACTGTCCCAACTAGTAGAGGTTTCTTATGAGTGATCAGAATGAGAACATTGTCTTATAGTTTAGAAGTCCCAGGCTGAGTTCTGCATTCTGCTTTCATTATAGAAGTACCTGGCAAACCTCTCCATACACATACACTATGTATATACATATGAGATGTACAGGAGAGCAAAAGCTCAAGTTATTGGAATTGTACCAACTTGGAAACGTCTTTAAAGTTTTTTACCTTTTTAAAACGGTTAGGGCACCTCAGTGGCTCAGTAGGTTAAGCCTCTGCCTTCGGCTCAGGTCATGATCTCAGGGTCCTGGGATCCAGCCCCACATTGGGCTCCCTGCTCATTGGGGAGTCTGTTTCTCCCTCTCCCTCTCTGCCCCCCACCCACTCATGCTCTCTCTCTCAAATAAATAAATCTTAAAAAAGAAAAAACAACTTTACCTAAATCTTTTCAAGTAATACCTTTCCTGTTCTTCTTTTTTGTCCTTGCCAAATAACGCTTTCTATATATATTTTGTCTTTTGGGGAAGAGTGGCTCTGCATTTGCTCCTCTACATGAAATCATTCTGTGCAATCAGCATATTGCAAGAGCCAGAAACACCTGTGTTTGAACCAACTCAGTACTGTTACCAGCTGTGTGAGGCACCTGTGTGCTAAATACAACAACAAAAATTAACCAATGTGAGTGCAAAAGGAGGATAGATACTGTAAATACCCTTTCAAAAGTGTGTTGCACAGAGACAGTTGTATGTATGTTGAATGCATGAAATCATAAATAAATAGGTAGTAGAAAGATGGATAATTCTGTCTTTCTTAGCTATTTTACTTTAACATACTATTTTTACTTTTTTTCTTATTCTTATTTGGTTACTGCTTAATTTTCAAACAAAACATCTTCCTAGGTTGGTTTGGTGGTAGTCTGGGATCCCTCTGGCAGGAAACAAGCCCCCAGACATATGGAGATGATTCATCTGCTATCTTTCTAACAGAGAAGGACCCTCAGACACACGGAGATCCCATCATTCTGATGTTTTGTCATCTTCTAATGAAAATCTGCAATCAAAACCTAAAAAGATATAAGATTTGATAATAATTTTCAAAACACCAGTGATCCCAGGGTTGGAGGGATTCTGTTGGGCAAAAGAGAGCTTTCCTGTTGTTCTTTGAATCAAATTGCTAAGAAGAGCTGTGCATTTTGAGGTGGTTTTTAAGACTCTGGTGGTCAAATGCCTCTTTGGGGGTCACAATATCTTTTTTTCCTCTCCATTCATCTGTTTTTTTTTTTCAGTTCACATTTGTTTATTTCGTATTTTATTTTTTTTAAATTTTATTTTATTATGTTAGTCGCCATATATTACATCATTAGTTTTTGATGTAGTTTTCCATGATTCATTGTTTTCCTTTAATACTCAGTGCTCCATTCAGTACATACCCTCCTTAATACCCATCACCGGGATAACCCATCCCCTCCCCACCCTCTAAAACCCTCAGTTTGTTTCTCAGAGTCCACAGTCTCTCATGGTTTGTCTCTGGGGGTCACAATATCTTGAACAAGGTAGGAGCTCTCTTCCGCAGTCAACTGATGAATGGAATGACTGTATCAGCATCCTGACTCCCATACCCAGTTGGGAGAGGGGAACTTCCCCAATGTCCTTCAGCACCTTCACTTCAGTGGCTGAGTCCTGGCTCCCCTGTGCAATTTACCTTGGCCTTCCTTCCTTTTCCTCATTGTCTCCTGGGTCTTTTTGCCTGAGGCTGTCTTTCACCCAGCAGAATCTGACAGCAATCCTTGACTGGTGGAGTTAAGCACAGAAATGATGACTGAATTCCTCTGTGGGAGTTCAGGTTCTTGCGAGCTTCATAGAGAAGTTACCCTAGGGACAGAAAAGTGATGATTGAAGGGATTAAAAAAAAGAGAAAGAGACATTGTCAACTCCCTGGCCAACACTAAGGGGAGTGTTTTACTCATTCGCAGGTAATACAAGGAAATACAGGTAATACCTGTAAGGTGCAGTCTGTGTGTCATCTCAGAGAAGATTAGAAGGAATAGAATGCACAGGAATATTCTATTTATGTATACTAAATCATTAATATCTTATGACCTGGTCTTATTCTAATTGGATTATTTTGCTACTTTATTTGGATGGGTCATTCAAAATACGCTTTTTCTCCTCTTGAAAGAAGACCTGTCTGGAGAATGAGGCCCACAGTAGTTCTAGACTTTATTATGAATAATCCAGATGCATACTCGCACTGAGGCCCACCCTTTCTTATTACTAAAGCTAAACGGCACAGCAGCTCAGTCTTGGAGCCATCCAAGAGAGGCTGATTGAGGCTCTGGGTAGTTGGTGCTCCTTGAGCCTCAGCTAGGGGCGCGGGGCTGGGTTCGGGTGGGCGGGACGGGGCGGGGCGCCCTGGAGCTCTCCATCCGCAGGGCCAGTGAGCCTGCCGACTTCTAGAAGCAAAGGCCTGGCTGAGCTGCCGCGGGTCGTGGGAGCCGCGCGCTGAGCGCGGCGACCGAGCTCGACTGAAAAGGTGCCCCTGCCAGAGCGCTGGGCTGAGGGTGCGCGGCGACTCCGAGAGCTGAGCGGTCCCGGGAGCGTAAGGTTCCGCAGGGGCCAGGACGTCCCCTAGACCACTGCGCGGGTCTCCAGGAGCCGGAGGTGAGCTTTGGGCTTTCGACTTTCGAGGAGCAGTCCTGGGGAGCGAGGGCTTTGTGCTCGAGAGCTTTTTGTTCCTGGGGGCTCAGAGCAGCAGTCTGGGGACAATTCCACCAGGGGACCGTGCCTAGGAAAGGGTTGGAGGGGATTTCAGGAGCCGGGGAAGAGGAGCCAGCGCTGTCCGCCTCACCAGTACTCAGCTGCAGCGAGATGTCCTCCCTCCTTTTCCCGCCCCTGGGGAAGTGCGCCGGGGTGGGCATCAGCGGGTCCCGGGCTCCCCGGGCTGCTGGCCTCCGCTCGCTGGCCGGTGGGCGGGCAAAGTTTGCCTCTCCGGGTCCAGCTGGTTCTCGCTCTCGTGGCCCCGCAGGTTCTGCCTCTGCTTGCCCTCCACTTGCAGCCGCCTGACCATGGAGTCCCCGGTCCAGATCTTCCGCGGGGAGCCGGGCCCCACCTGCTCCCCGAGCACCTGCCTGCTCCCGAACGGCAGCGGCTGGCTGCCGGGTTGGGCCGAGACGGACCGCAACAGCAGCGGGGGATCCAAGGGTGCGCCGCTGGAGTCCGCGCACATCTCTCCCGCCATCCCTGTCATCATCACGGCTGTCTATTCCGTGGTGTTCGTCGTGGGCTTGGTGGGCAACTCTCTGGTCATGTTCGTGATCATCCGGTGAGTGCGGGACCCGGGCGCCGCAGTGGCTGGGGTCGGGAGGGAAGGTCGGGCTCTGACGCCAGGACCGGCGGTTGCGGCTCCTACCAGGTGGTGGAGACTCCTTGCCCTCCGTGCAGGACTCTGGAGATTCTCAGAGGGTGGCCTCCTTGAAGTAAAGGATTTCCTGGAAGAGTTTTGGGTGGGGAACTGCGAGGTTCACAGGGGGCGAATCAAACAGCCAGGGGCGTTTTGAGCATTTGAATGACCCTCCACTCCCCCGCCCCCTTCCTCCCCTTCCCCCAAACCAAACCCCTACTAAAAACTGGTCAGGGAAAGTACAAAGGCGTGGAGGAAGGTCAGTGTCTTCTGGAAGGGAAACTAGTACCTTTTCCTGGCTTTTTTACCTGGTGTTCCGCGCCAGTTCCGAGCACTTTGTTCTGTCCTTTGCAAATATTTTTTAAGGTAAAATTCAGGCCCATCGAATGCACTGGAGATATTCAGAATTTTCTGTGACTCATCAGATTGGGATTATGGTTTATGAGCAAAAGCCAGTATACTATTTAGGGTTGTTGGTGTTCACGCATGAGCCCTTTTGGTACTGAAATGTTATCTCATTTGCTTAGAATATCAGTGATTTTTGTAAATAAGCCATCCAATATTTATCCTCTAAACTGTGGGTTGTGGAGGTTTTCAAAAATTGCTTTACTTTTTATTTTCCACGGAGAGAAACCGATGGTTCTATTTTATTGTTCTTTGGTGGCATTACATTGAAGTCAACTTCTAATTATAAATACCCAAATATCCACCTATATCTGCTAATTTTCTGGTAAGTGAAGTGATTCTTATTTTGACCTCTTTCAACAAAGAAAACAAGAAAAGAAAAAAAATCCCAACTTTGCTCTGGATGCCCTTTGATATATATGTATTTCCCTTTCTGGGAGAGTTAATGCTTTGGAAATACACCTTTAAGAGTGAATAAGGACCTTACATTCCTTTGAGAAGTCCCTGTAAAATAAGGGACACAAGTCACTCTTTTCAGGGACATTGAGGGGATGAAGAAAAACTACGTTTTTGTTTTTTAATTCTAATTTTAGTTTAGCTCTTTATTTATTCTGAACCTTAAGAACATTACCTATAGTAGCATGAGTCTTGGGAAATCATCATAATAAAAAAATGCCCATTTATCTGTCTATCTAGGTTTGAGAATGTCAGGTCTTTTATCTTCATCTGTGCTCCGGAACTAAAACCCATCTTTTAAGCCTCCAAATATATATTATAAAGCTCATTTCACCTACAATTAGTGTTTGTAGCTTGGTAGCCTTGGTTTCCATAATTGTGTATTGCATTTTATAGGCATTCTATCTGTGATGAGTAAAGGCTACAGAGGGAGAAAATATTTTAAAAGCACATTGTTTTTCCAAGTCATTAGTAATTTCAGGGCTGCTCTCCATTAGAGAGAAGATTATAGCAACCAAAAGAAAGACAGCTGTGTTCTCAATTACAATTAAAATTTTTTAGGAGATCTTTGGCTCAGAGGCTGTTTTTTGTAATAAAACATTATTACACAAGAAGAAGATGCTAAGGAAAAAAAAACTCTGTTCCTATTTATATCATATAACATCTTATTGTTATTTGAATGAGCACCTGAAGTTCTGAGTTTGAGAAGAGCTTCTTAGTTGCTTAACAACTGTTTATATAGCCCTGCAGAGTAGGATAAAAAGGAATGAAGAATTCTAAAATATGTGCAAAGACAACTCTATGGGGAACAGTAGACATGTCAGAATGAAAACAGAATTATAGATTAACTAAGACTTTTAATGTCAAATATGAATATGAAGAAATAGAAATAGAAATGAAATATAAATATATATATAATCACATGTAATTATACATAATGAATAATCACCATTATAAATTATAACATAATACACTTACTAACTATTCATATATTTATATAACATATGCAATATATAATTACATATATGTGTGTGTGTGTGTGTGTGTGTGTGTGTGTATCCAAAAGATATCCAGGACTAAAATTTGTTAAAAGGAGATACATTTAGCTAAAAATACAAAAGAAGTTAGCTAGTTCATGTAACATCATCTGTCCTCCCACTCCACTCCCAACTACTTGGAGATGAAGTATGAAAAGTGAGGAGTTTCACTATCATCCTGGAATGCCAATGTACTGAAACATTAGTTTGCTTACATATATAGCTAAGAGGATTAAGGAGTATTTGGAGTTGGTTAAGACTGAGAGATGGTCAAAGAGTTGAAAAATAAAGCCTCAAAAGAAAAGTTGGTGGATGTGGGTTTATTTCACTCGGAAGAAAAGGAACTGAAGACTTGAGAGAGGTGGCTATGGTGTACACACCAGGACTGAGAGCAGAACCGGAATGAGGAATTCATATGCAGCTTTTATAACTGATGTTGAGAGCTAAGTAACACTGCTTGAAAAGATGGAGGATCACTTCTGAGAGGGATGCTATTTTAAAATATTACACATTGAAAAGGGGCATGGTTCAGTCATCTAGGACATCATTCTAAAGATGCTTGGATGTTGGGGCAGGTGCAGGTCCGAGATGGCCAGTTCAGACCTGGGGAGGAAGTTAGGGTTGTGGAAAAAGCTTTGACTATTTTTAGACCTGTCTTACAAATAGCTTTCCCATCTTGGTGCCTGAAATGCTGCCCAGAACCCTCTGAATATAGTTACAATTTCAAGTGTTTTCATCATTTCATAGGTACCAACTGCCATAACTGCCTAATATTAGGGCATAGTAAATTTTCATTGTGAAAATCAGCCTCTCTTCTCACCAGGCTTTGGGGTTTGTGGTCCTGGGGTGGGAGGTTCTTGCCTCAGCCCTGGATCCCTGTCTTTGGCTCCTACAACACCTCGGGTGTGCCCATGGGTGCAGCACTTAGGATCCCTATGCCTGTCTTCTCTCCACCTCTTCCTGTGCAGGTCCCCTGCAGTGAATGCTGTGATGCCCACCCACACCCACACCCACATCCTGGATCTTGCCAGGCAGTCTCACCTGTGACATCTTAAACCATTCTCCCACAACTTCCATGCATATGACAGTCTCCTCCCCCAGCGGACATGACCAGAACCTAAGGGACACTAAATATATGCTAGGCCGGTAAAGCTCCCTACTTCACGTGAATCATTTTATTTACTCTTCACAACTATAGGTGTCTTACCATCCCCATTTAACAGATCGTGAAAATGAAGGCAAAGTAAGATTAAATAAACTGACCAAGGTCACACCTTGCTGATTGTGGAGCCAGCCTGACCCCAGAGCCTGTGCTTTGGTTCACTGTTGAATTCATTGCCCTCTATACCACTTCTGCAGACTTGCGGATACTTTCTTACCAGGCAGCCCTTCATTTTCTCCCAGACACTCTTTTTTTCTTACCTCACCTGGGTACCACAAACCATCACTTAGCCTCTCTTGACAATACATTCGGCTGCGTTGCCTTCTTGTCCTTCTGCCGTTGTCCAAACCTCAACCCTGGATCAAGCCAGTACCTTATCTTCCTATTCCTATTCCCAGCAAATTGAATGCTGCTGAATAAAATCAATTTTATCTTTGTAAAGATACACTTGAAGGCAAAGTCACCACCGTCGAGTGTATCTGACCCTTAGTCTGCCTAGTGCTTCTATGTCTCTCTCCTATTTCCAGAAAGAGCCAATTTCTTTTCCCAATTGTCATTAAAAACAAAACAAAACAAAAAACAAACAAACAAACAAACAAACAAAAAACCAACAAAAAGAACCCCAAACTAATTTCATTGGTACTAATTCCTAAACTCTCTCCCTGACCATATTTCGTCATGGTCAGGGGATATTCTTAACTCAGTAGTTCACTGTGACACTGGAGTCTAGCTGCTGGGAATGCTCTTCCTACATACCAGCACTGGCAGCTGCCCTGCCTTGTATCATTCCATCTCTGTAGTGACGTTTCCTTCTTTGTATCCAGAGCAAATCCCTGCTCCTGAGAGTTGAATCTCATCACCTCCAGCTCTCCTGAGGTCTCTGCTGTGTTAGCCATCCCCTTTCTACGCTATTTGTAATCTCTCCACTGCTTTTGTCCCTTATGCATCTGGACATACTCAAGCATCTGTCATCTTACAGGTAATTAATATCCACGACCCTTCCATTTTTCTGAGTTCTCTTAGCTAATGTCTTTTCATCCTCCTGTGTGTTAGAGGTAAGTTTCTTGGAGGGATAATCCTTCTTCATTTTCTTGTCTTCCACCTGTTCCTCAGCCCCGTGTACTTGGGTCCCCTCCCTGACACTCCTTTACCAAAGCTAGAGCATCACGTTTCAGCTGCTCATTTCGGGCTGACTGTCCCTTGATTTCTGTGGAGATTTGGCATGCTCGACCAGTCTTATGCCCTTCACTTTCTCTGATATCACCCTGTCCTTCACTTCCTGCCACATCCTTGGGGTTTCTTGTCTACAGCACAGACTCCTCTTCCTCTCGTGTTTCTTATATGGTCATGTTTTCCAGAGCCTTCTCAGCTCTTCTGTCTTCACTTTGCACACTCTCTGTGTTAGGATTCAATCAGAACAAAAGGACCAGTAGGAGATATACATGTGAAGAGATCTGTTGCAAGGGCTTGGGTTATGTGACGGTGGGACTGGCTGAGCTAGTCTGAAACCTGGAGGGCAGGCATCAGCAGAGGTAGGCTGCTGACCACAGGTAGAACTTCTTTCTCAGGGAAGCCACTGCTCTGCTCTCTATTAGTGTGCTAGGGCTGCCATCACAAAGTGCTACAAACTGGGTGGTTTAAGCAACAGAACTTATTTTCTCACAGGGAGGCTAGAAGTCCAAGATCAAGGTGTTGGCAGTGTTGGTTTCTTCTGAGACCTCTCTCCTTGGCTTGCAGATGGCTGTTTTCTCCCTGTGTCCTCACAGGGTCTTCCTTCTGTGTGTGTCTGAGTCCTAATATCCTCCTTTGATACAGACACCAGTCAAATTGGATTAGGGCCCAACCTCATGACCCCATTTTAC